TCATAACCTTCTACATTTCAAATGGGTTTGATTTAAAGCCTGGCAACCAGTGCACGTAGACAAGTTTTCTCTGGGAGCTTCAGGAATAGGCTGGGGAGGAAGGTGGTTGGAAGAAGCTTTGGGCATGAAGCATGTTTAAGTATGTGCAAGTAAGAATCTTGGCTATGGTTCTGCTTGTGGTTTGGTAACATCAGTCCAGGAATTACGTCTGGATGTTACATACTGCTCAAGTAATTTAAAAGCTAAGATAACTTTCCATATTGAGACTATGTATCTCCCTACCTTTAGGTTGTGCAGTCTGCAGGAAAAATCAAACCTCTGTCTTGTATTTAATTTTGAAATAGAACACCGAGAGCTGTTCCAAGGGACAGTAGGAAGCTTGCATAGTTTTGTTTCATAAATAACAATGATACAACCTTGCTTATTGCAGATGGCTTGCATTGCAGGTTTGACTCATGAAACTGATTTGTGGACTGCTGAAATATTCTTTCCCTAGATACTGATGTGATCAGTTACTGAGTGAGAAGCAGCTCACCTACACAACCACTTTCTAGGCAGAAACAACTGAACGATGGGTTGAATACTGCCATCCACTGGCTGGCTGCACAGAAAACTTGTTACACTTAAATTTCTTTAAGGCAATATTAAAAAGTACCTGGTGGTGATTTGTTTTGGTTTTTTAACATGTTTACCTTCCCTCTCAGGACTTTCTAATCAGCCTGTATGATGATGGGTTTAATCTACAACAAGGTTACAGCAGAAATACTTTGTATTTAAGTGGGTGATTTTGCTTAGAGGCTATTTAAAAAAAAAAAAAGGAAAAAGTTCTTAGTCCAACAGGTAAGTTTTGGCTGTAAAGGAGAATTAGTTTTCCAGAACATAAGCTGTCCAGCCAGAGGAAATACAATAATTTATACAGAAAGTCCAGAATCCACAATCCTTCTTAATATAATTCTGTTTTATAACATTTCTGAGCTGTGCTTAGAATGCGTATCAATGGCATTAATTCTAGCATGAACTTTTTGTTATAAACACAGATTGAAGAAGTTTCTTGGTTGCTTCCTTTTTCTAAAGTCTGCTTTACAACTGACAAAGCCAGCTGGCACTGTGAATCGCTCTTAGTACAGAAAGGCAGGCTTGCGATTAAGTCACAGGAGTGGGAGTGCGAGGTTCTATTTCTGGCTCAGACGCAGACGTCCTGGGTTATCATAGGCAAATCTGCTAATTTTCACTATCAGTCATATGGACAACCCAACTGCTTGCTGGAGTGGCTTCTCCTCCCCCCGCCGCTAGCAACAACTAAAACACCGGTGTGTTATCAACTTTGTTCTCATCCTAAATCCAAAACACTGTACCAGCTACTAGAAAGGAAATTAACTCTATCCCTGCCAAAACCAGGACAGTTGTACTCGAGGAGTCTCCAGCAAATGTCCTGGAAAGCAGTGGCAACTGAACACCTCAGAGCAGCACTAAATTTAGAGCTTTTCTAACTCATATGCGGGGATGGCACGGGCAGAAAGGTGGGTTCTTTGACAGCTTTGTTCATTCTCCCTCCCTGATCTCAGAAGTTTCCCGTGAGACTTTAAACATATTCTTGTTAGGTACTGACGTGCCTGAGGAAGACAGTGTCAGAGTAGAATGGAATTTAATTTAGGAAATGACAGCAAGCTCCAACACCACCTTTACTAATAAAACCAGCGTGTGACAGATGTCAGTGTTGTGCCTGATTCCGATGTTAGCCACAACTGTATTATCCTGAAGCAACTCATTGATAGTGACCAAACTATTTGCAGAGTTCAAAAAAAAAAAACCAACACCAAAACCAATCCAGAAGTTGATGTTTTCACTGCAAGGGTGTCTGAGGCAAATTTCAAAGATGGCATGATTGATTAAAAGGTGTATAGTAATGCAAGATGATGTAAATGTAGGAATGATTAAAGAATTAACTAGTAGCTACTTTCAAGTCAGTGTACGTTGTTCTTTATTAACTGCAATTATGCAAGACAAAGTATAAAGAAATACACAGTGATCTTCTAGGAAATAAGTTATGTTCAGAATAGTTCTTAGAAAGGACTCGACTGCATAAAATGTATGTTCAATGAAATTCAGTCTTCAACTGTAATAAAAATGTAGCTTTGTATGAATAACAAAAAAGACAAAAGAAAATCAGTTCCTTCAGAGGATTCACTTGCTCTGGTTGTTTTTGCAGTGATAGCTTGTGAGATACAGAAAACTAAGTAGGACATAAACAATGTAAACTTGATTGGGCAGGCAGAAATGGTGAAGAGAAGGTGCAATTTAAAGTATTCATTTTTAGTAATCTTAGATCCTGCTAGTGACATCCATTTTTTATTTTTTTTTTTTTAATGACTGTTTTTAATTTGGCAGGTCCCTTTACACAGGAGAAAAAATAACAATAGACTAACTCACACCAACCACCATCTTCATAGAATCACAGAATACCAGGTTGGAAGGGACCTCAAGGATCATCTGGTCCAACCTTCCTTGGCAAAAGCACAGTCTAGACAAGATGGCCCAGCACCCCGTCCAGCCGAATCTTAAAAGCGTCCCGTGTTGGGGAATCTGCCACTTCCCCAGGGAGATTATTCCAATGGCTGATTGTTCTCACTGTGAAAAATTTTCCCTTTGCGTCCACTCGGAATCTCCCCAGGAGTAACTTGTACCCATTACCCCTCATCTTTTCTGCATGACTCCTTGAAAAAAGGGAGTCTCCACCTTCCATGTAGCCACCCTTTAAATACTGGAACATGGTGATAAGGTCTCCCCTAAGCCTTCTTTTCTCAAGGCTGAGCAAACCCAGTTCTCTCAGCCTTTCCTCATATGGCAGGCTTCCCAGTCCTTTGATCATCTTTGTGGCCCTTCTCTGGACCCTCTCCAGCCTGTCCACATCTTTTTTGCATAGCAGGGACCAAAACTGAACACAGTATTCCAGGTGTGGCCTGATAAGCGCTGAGTAGAGTGGGATAATGACTTCTTTATCTCTGCTGGTGATGCTCTTGTTGATGCAACTCGGCATCCTGTTGGCTTTCTTTGCTGCAGCAGCACGCTGTTCACTCATATCAAGCTGCTTGTCCACCAGGACCCCCAGATCCCTTTCCACAGAGCTGCTCCTCAGCCGGGTAGGTCCCAGCCTGTGCTGCACTCCTGGATTATGTTTTCCAGGTGCAAGACCTTACACTTGTCTTTGCTGAACTTTGTTGAAGTTCTCCATGGATTGGATTGTGCTGTGGAGGGCCGAGGTCATCTGCTCATTCATTTTATCAGCCAGAACAAGTATGTAAAAACTTGACCAAAAATGAGTAATGGAAATGGGAAGACTGGATGGAAAAAAACTGTGCTCAGGAAGAATCTTAAGCTGAGGTTTCTCCTGTGCAGACGAGCACGAAAGGCAAACCCCTGGAAGAAATATCACCCTTTTATGGTTAGAAGTCTTCTGTTTCCAAGCAGTATTAATATATAGCATGTTTATACCCATTTATTCTTGTTTTGAATTTTTCCTTTAAATAGTTTTTTCCCCTCCCAGGTGATTAAACACTTTCCCACCAAGGAGATACAACACCATAAATAGTTGAGTTCCTGGCAACTAGAGAGATGTCTTTTAGCTCTTTTATTGATTTGGGAATTCTCTGTTGGATCGACAGCAGAGCATTCTTGCCAAAGGTGGGCTAAGGGGCATCTTCTTAATACTGTTTAGTTGGATGCACTGTAAAAAGGTACTGAATGTAGACTAATTAAGGTTTCAGTTTGGGTTTTTTGTTTGTTGGTTTGGTTTTTTTAATTACAAGAAACAGAGCAGACATCCTGTTTTGGAGCAAATCACTGCTACTGCCTTCTTACTGGCTGTATCTCCTCGCTCCATAGATCCTGGTCACTACCTGTATCTCCTTTCCACTTTCTTCTCTCCCCTCCCCATGCCTTTTTCCCCTTTTCTCTGGTAGCACATCAACAAAGCCTGAACTAATTGACCTCATAAATCTTATTAACGATGTTCACTTGGTTCCTCACTTTCAGCGTCAACGCACCGGGCTTCAGAAGCAGAACTCACTGTTCAGGCAGCAGTATTTTTGGCTAATAGTGCAGGAAGTAAACAGAAACCAATGGACGCTTTTGATCTCTGTGGAAATATGTTTAATTTTAAAGACAAAGGGAAGTATCCTGAATGCACCTAGGTCACTGTTGTGAGGGCTTTTTCTTTAATGCTACATAAATGGAAATAACGTGATACTACGTGAATTTAAATACAAGCAGGAGCAGCGAGCACTCCGGGTTCCCCGCCGTTCTGGCTGCCTTCGCAGAGGCCCGTCCGGGACCCAGGCTCGCTGGCCTGCGGCAGTTTGCAGAGGGTACCGATGCCGGCAGGCTATCGGCGCAAACCAACCTAACGCACCTGGGCCGCAGCGCGGAGAGCACGCAGCCCCTTTCGGGAGCGCCGTGCGCTGAGGAAGCCATGCAGGGCGGCCCTGGGACCCAGCGGGCCGCTCCGCCCGGCCCCGGGTTTTCCCTTCCGCCTTGAGACAGCGCAGCCGGGGCGGGAGCGGGGGCG